ATGTTTGTTTTAGCTAATTGAAAGGTTGACATTTTTTGAAAGTCAGTAGTTTTTGAGGTTTTGTTGTTCAATGACTCTTTTCCTACTTCTCTGCTGTCTGAGTTTTACGCCTTTAAATTACATTTGAGAAAGCCTTATTTCGTAGCTTCTTAAAGAAAAAAATTTGAGAAAGGATCAAGAAAGCTAGCATGAATGAAAATATAGCGTCAACTGGTTTCAAGGTTTTACTGAAAGAAAAACCAAAACTTACATAGACATCTTTCTTTGGCAACTAGTATCTTGCAAAAAGACTGGTTTTATTTAGGCTTCTTGGATCCTTTATGAAGAATTATGTGTTCTCACCTTACAGTTTTAAATTTTCGTAGATGACTTTTTTTTCATAAATATCATTTTGTACAAATCTGCAAGAAATCGAATTTGTTTTAGAAAGGATCCTCGACAACTTGCAGGCCAAGAAAATTTCCAATTGTTTTTATTACACTTGCCGGATTTAGCGAGCGTAGTGTATTAGTACGACTACTCTTTGTTTCCAACCTAAAAGGCAAATATTGGTGCCACTTTTGGTGGCAAATTTAGGGCTTTTTGATAGCATGTAATTTGACATTCGATTCATCATAAATTTTTGAGCTAAACATGTCTCGCAATTTCTTTTGCAATGCTTGATTTGTACATAATTTGGCTTCATGCTTTTCAGTTTTTTATATTTGAAATTAGCACAAACAAAGCTGTGTCTATTTATTTAGCTGCTATATTTGTGACTAGTGTCAGTAAGTTGTCAAGGTCCCGCGGCGCAGTAAGTTGTCAAGGGCCCGCGGCGAGGACAAAGTATTCTGTAGCTTCTGGTTGTAGGATCGAATGCAAAAGTTTTATTTTTCAAGGCCTATTTCGACCTTTTCTTTTTTTATTACTTTTTTAAGAGCCGCATAATAGTCGTTTTTTTGCTGATGTTCGCGAAGCGCAGTCTGGTTCGGTATTGTTGTTTTTTACCTGGCTTTTATGTAGGAAAAGGTTTGAAAGTTTGTTGCTGTAGAAACTGGAACTCACCTCTGGATTTTTTGTTAATCGTTGATAGGTATGACGCTGATTATTTTGATCATATTTTAATGTGCGACTCCAAAAACAGTATTCCACTGAAATTCTACTGGAAAATTTGTAGAGCTACTCTGTTGGTAAAAATTTAAGAAACTCAGCAGAAAGTTAGTATTCAATTTCCGTTCGAAACATTTGCTCTTCTGATAATCCTGCAATTTATTATGTTGATTACAATTGACTCTGTTTACTCTAAAAGTGTTCATTAGACGTGTTCACTTATTTGGAAGTGTTTTTGGAACTATTGGAAATTTCAGTGCATCTGCGCTCTACTTTATTTGCTGTGAATAGTGTTTGGTGTGTTTTAAGCTTCCGTGGTTAGCGCGTGAGAATCTTAAAGTCTTGAGCGCAGGTTCAAATCTCAGAGGTAGCCGAATTTTTACTAATTCGAGGTTTATTTCTAATTTTTATTATTGCACTTGATAGAGCTGCTTTTGCCGAGTTCTAGGAAGTGTTTGCGAAGCAAAGCTTCGCCTCCGAGTTGAAAAACGGCTGCTAGAAAATATCTTGAATGTTTCAAGCTGTCAATGAATGAAATTTTTTTCATGTAGTGTGTGTATGTGTATATTTCAAGTTATAGTGACTTAAAAAAGTTTGCACTAGTAAGTCGTTTTTTTTGTTTTAAAAAGACTTGCATTTTTTGGAATCTTTTTCTCATTTCAGAATATGTTTGTACAGCCATTTTACTTCTGCGATAAGCAAGCATGTGGCAATCGAAAACTAGATTTTTTCGTGTAAAATAACTTTGTTCACATGATTTTTGTTTCTATGAATTCCAGTTCTAACCAAGATGCTCTTTTAACAGCTACAGTCATGGGCCTAGAGCTACTGTAAGGATACTGGGTGAAACTCCCTAAAAATTTTGAAAATTTTCGATTTTTGTTGGCTTTATGGGTTTGATCCCACTTTACGGCAGCCTTTTTAACGGTTCATTATTCAGTAACGTTTTAACTTGTTTTTATTCTATTTTCGATTCAGTTTTGAAGAGCGTAGTTGTGTTTTAATGCCTTTTATATACGCAAAAATATCCCGCCAAAAATTGTTTTGTCGGAAAATGTTTTGCATTATGTTTTTTGTTTTCTTTAAGCAATTTTTTCTCCTGAAATGATGTGTAATTTTTTTTTAAGCAACTCTGCGTCGTTATTAGGTTTGAGCAATTTTGTTTAGATTCCAAAATGAGTCTTAAAAATTAAATTTCCCAGCGGAATAAAAAAAAGTGTTGTTTCAGTTTTCTCCAAATAGGTTAGTTTTTTGAAAAATGTTCAATCATAAAATGCTCATAAAATTTAGGAAATGCAATTGTTTATTTTCAAGCTTTGTTTATTTTCCAGTTTTCATGAGTTTTTTGGGTGATTTTTTGGAACTTTTTATCATGATTTTTTAACCTAAACTTAGACCTGAAAGTTAGAAATCTTCAACTTGATAATTTTTTTATTCAAAGTTTCAATTTCAATTGTTTATTACTGTTTCACGCCATAGCTTTTAGAAATTTAGGCTTGTCTCCATTTTAGGCTTTATGTTTTTTTTGAGTTCTAATTCAAGAGTTTGCTGAAGTGAGATAACAATAACAAAGAGAGTGTTTTTATTTTTGGTATATTGATAAATGCTCTCCAACATACAAGTGAAATCAGTGTGTTTCAATGTAAAAAAAAAAATTTTAGTTGCAAAAAAGCAAACCAAATAATCAATTACATTTTTTCTACCCTTGCGATAATCAGTGCAGTGTTATTGCAATCGGAAAGTTTTTTTTGTACATAATTTTGTTCACTTAATCTTCAGTCTTAGAGGCTTCTCATGCTTAAATTTTGAACAGTTTTTTAAGGTATTTTTGGGCCCATACAGCTGTAAAATTTTATTAACTGATTTCGTTATAGGATTGGCAATCGGGTATAGAACTGCCACATAACTGATTTGAAAAAAAAAACTGATTTTGTTGTAAATTTTTTGGTTTTTGTTCCAAATTTTGTTGATTAATTTGGGGAAAATTGGTTTTAATTACGTAGTTAAATCAATTGTGATTAGTATACACATTTTAACATTTCATGGTTTTTTTTTCATTTTATACACAAAAAAACTTTTGTTGAAAAGGAAATACTTTAAGCAATGTTGAAAAAAATTGGGGTTTATTTTTTCATTTTTTTTTCAATTTTTTCGGTGTAATAATTGGCTAATCTGGTGGAATAATTGAATCAAACGTTTTCGCAGAAATTTGAGTGACAGCAAACATGTCTTTCATGACGAGATTGTCTTCTTTTGCAAAAATTGGTTGTTTTTTTCTAAAGTTTTGATATTCCTTGATTTTTCTCTGATTTTTTTAAAAATTTTTGTAGCCATGAAAATCGTGAGTAAGAGATCAAATGGTTCTTCCTTATTTAATACTAAAAAAATGGAAGTTTTTGCGCCATTTGCATGTTTGTTTTTAGAGAGTACAAACAAAAATTGAGTAGGCTATGAGAAATAGACAAAAAGGAACACAATTGATTTTGTTTAAGGTAACTAACTGTTTTTTACAAATACTCGCGGGATTTACAATTTGGATGTATTGGAGAGATATTTCATGTTTTTAACATTTAAAAATTTCAATCTAAGCTCTGATTTTCAGAACCGTTTTTTTATTTGTAAGTAGCATTTTGGATTCGTTCATGTGACATGGCAACGTGAGGCGACAACTCGTCGAAAGCGACATTTGGTCAAAAGCGGCGTGTGGCGCTTTTTCAAACGAGCGACAACTGCAACAGGTAAAAATTTGAACCAGGCAACAATTCGTAACTGTAGATTGAGCTACAAACCCTGATTGGCGCTCTGTTTTTCTCGTTCTGAATTAAAGCCAAGCGCAGCAAGCAGTCACTTCCTGCCGTTGTGTTTGTTCTTGCCGATGCATTGCCCTGTTGCTACTTGTCTGTGCATTGTCCTAGATCGGCTGTCCTAGACTTTTTCCCGTAAGCACCTTTTCTTACATCTGAAGTTGAAAATGAAGTTACTTAATTAGTAAGTGTTAGCAACTTCGAGAATGCTTCCCGCTTGGCATAGAGGAAACGCGGTTGTCCCTACTCCCTAAAGTTTGGGTTTGATTCTCAGTCGGACCTTCTTTTTTTCAGCCTGTATGAAATAAAAAAATTTTCCGGGACAAATTGAATTGTCGGCTTTTTGTTTGTCTGCTTTTTTTCGGCTTAGTTGCCACAATGTAGAGCTATTTTGTGCACGCATCAGTTTTTCGTCTTTGATGAAAGTCTTTATGATGTATTTCTGTAATTTACAAAATTAGTAGCCCTGACTTTGTAAATTTTCTTTTTTGTTGTTGTTTTTGTTCTCATGTAATTGACCATGCACTTCAAAACACAAAAGCTTACAAATCATACTTAGCAAACTCAATCACTTTCAATTAAAAATTAGTTTCCTTATCCCTAAAGAGCGTGATTTTAACTGTTCACACAAAATCAAGCTTTTAACTATCACACAAACATACATATTACCGATTTATACAACGCGATTTTTTCCACAATGGCTAGAAGCGTCATTCGACCTAAATATTCGGGCTTAGGTTTTATCGGCTTAGCTACTTTAATTTCTGTCGCGTCAATGGCAAAGTGTATTGATTAAAAAATCCGGTCGTTTTTTTTCGAAAGTTCAAAGTTTTAAAACCTAATTGCTTAATTTTTTTTAACGTCATTAATTTTTATGGCTTTTTTGTTTTCGGCTCAATGAGTGGCTAAGAGCGCCTGGTTCTGGCTCAAGGAATGCATTTCGGCTTAGTAGCTGCTCTGTAAAAAATTAAAGACCTTTTTAATGCTGTTTGTTGTTTTTTTTATATATATTTTTTTTCGATTTTGTTATTTCCGTTTTTGTTTTTTTTTATTTTATAGCTTGTAATACTGTGCTTGCGTTGTATCGCCAGTGGTTTGAAGCTCCGATTCGCCTCTGTGTTTAAGTTTTTGCCACAGTTGTCGCTTTCGACCAGTAGACGCTTTTGGCGAGATTTCGCCTTGCCGTGGTGAATTACCATCATTTTGGTGACGTTACAATTATGGAATTATTGGTTATCATTGAGGAAGCGAGTTCATCATTTCAACATAAGAAGGCCTTCTCTTCATTCTCCCCTCCTTCTCATCATCATCGTCACTTTCATTACTGCTCTTATTCTGATGCCCATTCGCTTGAATTTTTGCCGCATCTGAAGTAAAAAGCATGTTGCTTACCGGCCGTCGCCGTCAATTTTTGAGTGAGCATCATCGAGTGAGTCATGCTCAAATATTTATTCATCAAAATCTACACTAAGCTCATAGTCTACATGTTCATGCTCTTTTTAGTGACATTCCTTTTGTTAGCATTGATGGCTGTTTTAAAAACGATTTTCAACTCAAAAATAGTTTAAAGAGTTTGAAGATAATTCAAAGAGTCCCAAAATCAAACAAAGCAGTAGTTTACAGTTAGAGAGAAAGTAATTTTTCATTTCTTACTTTTTTCTGTCGCTTTAATCACAATATTCTGTTGAGCCCCGGGGTCAGTCACGACGTAATGAAGAGAGTAAGATTGTCCTGCATCTTCATCTGATTGGCGAGCTCCGTCAGGCCTTCTTAATATGAGAAGAAATCACTTAGGATAACTATATAAGAAAAGGTAATATCTAAAAGTGTTGGGTTTTGTTCACTCCGGCCAATCTCCAGCAGTGGAAATAAACTATGGCGTAGGGTCCGTTTTTAAGTTTTTTCAGCCAAATCTGATTAGCTTAAGGAAAACTTGTAGGGGATCAGTTTTATTAGCTTTTCAGATTAAATTAGAATAAAGTTGATATGATTTCAGCAGTGAAACTTTCTAGTAATTTTTGGCAATTTTCAGAGAATTCATTCGACCTTCAGAAAATACTTGAAAAATGAAAAAAGTTTATGAAATTTTTTTGATGTTTTAATGTTCATTTTTGAATTTTTATTCTGAAATCAGTGTGGTCGGAACTTCTTTTGCTACTTGCACCGCAACCGGCTGTCCTTGTTTTTACTATGTAAGGGGTTCATTATGGACTAATAATTTAGAAAACATTATTGGCTCATTATAGCCTTGAAGAGCTTTCTTTTTGTATGAAGGCCTGACCGCAATGATCATTCCCACCATAGCACCATGTGAACATCGAGGTCGAATAGGACCTCGCTCGACGTCTGTTAGTTCCCTTGGAGTTTGTTTGGATACAAGTTTGCTTTGGTATTGTCTTCTTCTTCTGTTGAGGAACTGCACATATTTCGACGATGGAATCCGAGTCGCTGCAGTTGTTCGTGGCGCTTTCATCTCGTCTTGTCTTCTTTTGTCTCTGATGTTTTCGGCTCTTTTTAGGCCCGTGCGAAAAATTTTAGCGTTAATTAAAGCATCTGCTTCTTCAAAAAAATCAAATTGAAGACCCAAAAATCAGAAAATTTTAAATGCAGTTGCGTTGAGAACGTTTCAAAATTTCCGGAAGCTATGTTTACTCTATAAAAATGTGGTTCACTTTTTGCTAAATTAATTTCGAATGACAAACCCAATCGTTTTGCGGAAAAGATTTTTAATGGCAAAATAAAAGAATTCCGAACAAAGTTTCTCAAATTTTTTTGAAGGCGTCTGAACAAAAAACAACTAGTTTTTGAAAAAATTTCTGACAAAGAATTCCATATGTATGCCATTGAATAAGTATAGCGTAAAAAGAGCCAGCCCTTTTGCCGATTCCCTTTTGATGTCTTGTTTGTTCGTGAGTGTTGACCCAAAAACAGAATTTTGATCTTCCTCGACACATTAACTGCTTCTGCAAGTGTGAGTAACATTGTACATATGACTGTGACTGCGTACCAGGGGGAGGCGGCTATGAAAGTCTTGATCTTCCAAACCATTGGGCTCTTCCACTCGAATTTAAGTTTCACGCTTCCCAATTCACCCATATTGTTGCTAGTTGGAACTATTTTATATGATTCCTGAAAATATAATCCATCTGGTTGACAAAAATAGTAAAATATTAACACTGTTAAATCAAATTATTATGATTCAAAATCAGTAAATTATGGATAAAATTGAACGTACAAAAATCCTTAAAAATCAGACACGACGAGATATTGGTTGTACATTTTTGTTCTGAAGTAATCCTCTCAAAAACGATTCTTGTTCTCGAGTTATCATAACAATGTATTTTCTTCAGTAAATGTTCATCTTTGTATAATTGGAAGTAGTTCGAGAAAAAAAAAACGGCGTAGTAATGAGAAAGAGAAAAAAGGAGAATGAGAATGAGAAAGATTATTGTTATTATTATCGAATAATAATGTAATAACAAAGCCTGAAAACATAATATTAAGTTCTTTATAAATTTTATTATAAACTGAATAACAAATGGTTTAATTAACAGATTGAGAAAAAACGCTATCTGTTTATTAAACCGGTTTGTCTCGAATTATTTAATAAATATTAAAATGATATTTTTAATTTTGAAGTGCGGGATATAACCTCACGTACCCAACGGAGGCTGTTTACCTAGATAGAAAATTTATATATTATCTAGCCTAGTTTTCTCGTATTTTCTGTGCAAAAATTATCTATTCCTTTCCTAGTTTAGACACAAACAGATTTTGGAAAGAAATAACCAAAAACCAGTTCATTGCCCAACGCAACGAGATAAACATGCTTCGAGAATACACAGTGACAGTGGCAATATAATGCAAACTAACACTTGTTATAACGAGTTTTGTTTTGCTAAAACTATGAAACTTCATCAAGGCCTGTTGCCTATTGGTTATTACAACCGCCTAGCAAACAGAAGGTCGAGCCCCACCAGGAATATTTTTCTAGCTAGAAATGGCCTTGATTTTGCTAATTTTTGATCAGAATTAAGGTGAGAATTAAAAATTTTTTAAGAAAATCCCTGCTTTACTTAAACATTTCAAAAAGAATTTCTGACCAGAAATTAGATTAGATACGAAGTATTTCAGGTCAGAAATAAAGAGTTTTCTCGGTACGCGATAACAGGCATGTGAAATGTATGAAGAAGACTTACAACCGCGATACAGTTTGCCCCTCCAGTGGTACCTCGTGAGCAACTAAAATCAGCTCAGCAAAACTTAGCTACATTAAATTTTCCTTTTTTCTTGTTTTAAGACTTAAAAACTAAAAAACTACAGAAATTAAGTTTCCCCAAACACCCAATAAACCCAACTACCAAATTAACACTTATTAAGTCTTCATTGTCACTTGATCCCTTAATAATGCAGATAAGCCCCTAGTTTCGATTCTTTAAAAGTGACCATCTCAAAGCATATACATTTGTCCATTTGACAAAATTCGTTAAGCAGAAGTCTACCTCTAGTTCCAACCATATTTGACTATTCTATTTGATTTGAGCTTTGTTAGTAGTGTTTTCTTTTGTTTTCATCGAAATTTTTTGTGATGATTTGAATATAATTATCTGATAATGCTTTTCATAAGTTTTTGGCCATAAGATTTAGTAAATCATATACATACAGCTCGTGGAATATGCAAAGCTTTCGTTTCTAGTTCACGTGTCTGATGCGGTCATGCTTAGATTATTTGAAACAATTTTTCCACATTATTATTTGTTTTTGTTCTACATTTCAAGATCAAGATCCGACTTAACAGCTGTGCCAAAGACCAGGACAGCGTATTGATAAATAGGTTTGATGTAGGTTTTTGCTCTTACCAGTTGAGCTTTTTTGAAGAAAAAAATCCGCAACCAATAGATTAAGGATAATTAAATACTTCCAAGCATTCGACATGCGGTTTGATGCTAGCACTACATAGTGTTGATGTTTCAGTTCAGTTTTTCTATTTGTTCCATATCAGGATTGGTTTTACTATGCTGGCTGATAACTATTCTTTTTTCTATTTGGATCAAGTTAACATCCCCCCCCGCCCAAATTTGCTGAGCGCTCCCTGTAAAATGCTCGATTCTGGTTGGCTGAAAAATCCCAACTTAGAACCAAGTTAACATCCTTCATCCCAAAGGGCTTGGGGGGATGTTAACTTGGTCCCTCTATTTTTCTAAATTTTTCTCCATTTAGCGTAAAATTATTTCCGTTTAACTACGTTTTAACATTGCCTAGGTGTTTCACGCAGCTTCCTCTGTTTTCACTGTGAATTTCTGAAAATTTTTTGAAATCATTTGCAAGCATTACTGATTTTTTTTCATGACATTCAAGAGGAATATCGCTGATGCAAACATTAAAAATTAGAGGTCCCAATTTAAACTCCCGAGGTATACCGATCTCTATGCGCTTCAATTCTGATGCTTCAGCTGGTGTAATAACACATTGCATTCTTTTTCTAAAATAAGATGATAAAACTTCTGCACTTTGGCTGTTTTCCCTTTAAGACTATATAATTTTTTGTTGTATACATTTTTACAATTAATATTTTTAAAAGCTCTAGAATGATCTAAGATCGTGTTTTCAGTTAAGCACCCCTCATTGAGCATATTTTAAAGAAATTTTTTAATAAAGGTCGTTGCTTCAACTGTGTTGCTTTTTTCCTAAATTCAAATTGTTTTTCTTTAGAACAGGGTGCTTGTTTAGGAAATTAATCACCCTTTCGTGTGACTTTTTCAACGAATTTTTCAATGTTCAGAAGGAGTGAAATAAGCGCTTCAATTCTGATGCTTCAGCTGGTGTAATAACACATTGCATTCTTTTTCTAAAATAAGATGATAAAACTTCTGCACTTTGGCTGTTTTCCCTTTAAGACTATATAATTTTTTGTTGTATACATTTTTACAATTAATATTTTTAAAAGCTCTAGAATGATCTAAGATCGTGTTTTCAGTTAAGCACCCCTCATTGAGCATATTTTAAAGAAATTTTTTTAATAAAGGTCCTTGCTTCAACTGTGTTGCTTTTTTCCTAAATTCAAACTGTTTTTCTTTAGAACATGGTGCTTGTTTAGGAAATTAATCACCCTTTCGTGTGACTTTCTCAAAGAATTTTTCAATGACCAGAAGGAGTGAAATACGCCTGAAGTTTGAGCTGTCTAACTGTTTGCCTGATTTGTAGATTGGTAATACGTTTCCAGTTTCCAGACAATACGGGAACTCGGACTTTACAGTGCAAAGTGCATCTATTCAACTTGAATGCGAGTATTTCGACTAGGAGATTTTTTTTTTCAATTAAATCGTTACTCAGTCCGAGAGAATCTTGTGAGAACTTATGAATTAACTAGATTAATTTTGTCTGAGTTTGATTTGTATCAGTTTCAAGAAGAGCTACTGTTTCACTGACTTGTTTTACTTACTTTAGATTAACCATTCAATCATAACTACCAGATAGTTTTTTCACTTGGGAAAAATATTATTCAAACTTTTAGCTGTTAACAATAATGTTTTTTACTGTTAACACCAATAAATAATTTTCCCTTGTTTTCAAGCTTAAAAAGATCCTATAGCGAGTTATTGTTATGCCAAACTCTGTTAAAGCTATGATTTTTGTATCATTCTCATATTTTGACGAATAGCTATTAAAGGAACTCTTTGTTATGATAACTCGAGTATTTACACTCACCTCATGATATTTGGACATCTTTCAGACTATCCGTCTAATTTGCTTATCGTCTAATTTCCTAACCCCCCTGCTGTCCATTACTACAGATTAAATCTGCCTTTATGTCGAAGCCCTTGTTAGTTTTGCGTTGGTCAAACTTTTTTTCGAAAAGTAATAAATTGAATTGATTTTCTTTTTTTTCTACCTAATTGTCGAAGTCCATCACTGCTGGTGTAAAATTTTGCAGAAAAAAGTACAACAACTCCAACTGTGTACCTCTGTGTCGAGTAGTAACCGGTGTTGACCGTGTTCCTCCACCTCGCTCATCAGCAGATAGACATGCAGTGTCTTGCTCACGCTGCTCTCCGTGAACTCCGTCTTCTTAGTGCCCCTGTGAGTCAGAATGGCCTGCATCCGATTCTCACTAAACAACCATTCAAATTGAAACATTCGCTTTAAACTTTTAGTCAACCTAAAATTTTTCGGCGTAGTTTTTATGAGATCAAACATGTAATTTGTATCTGTTCTAGTGAAAAGTATATTTTATCCCTTTTTGTTTTTCCGGAGGAGAAGAGCGTAAAATTTAGAAATTAACAGCTCAGGGTTTAATTGCTCAAAGATTTTTCATGACAACACTTTTTGTTTTCGGCTCAACAGGGTGTTACCCAAGTGTTGTCGGTTCAGTTTGTTTCGTAAAAATGTTCCGATAAATGCTTCTTAATAGTTATTCAACTCCAGCAGTTGTGTTGCTGGACGTGCTTGCCACAAAATGAACATCAATTGAGACAAAAATGGAAATTTTTATAGATGAATGAAGTGATTTTGACAGTTTTAACTTTTTTTCGACTTAGCGGCGTTCATTTCATTTTCTGTCTACAAGGTTGCAATTCTATAAGTATTTGTTATCGCAAGTGGCACTAAGCTCCGCTTCGCTTCTGTGTAAGAAACCTGTTTTTGATACCAACCTTTTCAGCATTTCGTGGTAGGATGGCAGCAACATGTACTCTAGGCTCACTCTGTCATCCCCATGAATGCTTTCTTTTCCAGTAATGACAGACTCTGCTCCTCTCCCGGCTGCAGATATGTTCAGAAACTTTAGAAACCCAATATTTTCAGACATCATGTCTCCAGAAACTTTCCTCGTGTCTCGTGGGTGGCCTCCAATCCGACTAGTGTCAACTTCCGGATCGCTAGGCTCTTTCTTAAAATCCTCTTTTTCTGTGCGTCGCGGTTGAATCTTTGAATTATCAGTTTCTTTAGATATCGATTCGCTGGACAAATTGCGTGATGGATCCCTAGTATTGTCAGCCTCCGGACTCTTTAAATTCCGAGTTCTTGTCTTTTGAGACTGAGATGATGTCCGTGCAGCTCCTGATGATGTTGATGACCCGTAGTTGTTTCTATGAGTACATGCGACCTCAACTTGTTCTTTTCTTTCCCAGTCCTCTGGACCTCGAATGGTGAATGCGACATAATGTTTCTGATGTTTGTTGGATCTAAATTGCAGATCTTAATATCATTTGAGTTGTTTCTTTTTGAATATACATTTCGATCAGAAACAATTTCACATTTTTTGCAGTTGTAGTTAAAGCCCTAAAATCGGTGAAAATAAAATGTCATTGACCTCTTAATTTCTGTGTCATGAGCGAATCTCGAGATAATTTAATTCCTTTGTATTTTTTTTCTAGAAATTTTTAAATTTTTTTTGTTTATTTTGTTTTGGTTCCTGAGTTATATTTGGGTATTCTGACGAATAATCAAATGGTATTACCTGTTGGCATTTAGCTGGCTGTGTTTTTTGAGCTGTTGCATGAGTGTTGAGTGATTTGCGTGGGGGTGGGGTGACCCATCACTGAAGTGAGTGGGAGAGTGAGAGTTAGAGTGGGGCTGGGCAGCCATGACCGTGTAGAAGTCGTCGATTGAGATTATGTCTGTTACGTATTCACACCTCCTCTTAGAAACTCTATGGTCTGTAAACAGCGTGAATATTAGCTCACTTACCTTTGAATGTCCTTCCTCTTCGCTTATAACAGCTAATAAAGAATACCTGGTTATCCTTTAAGTAACAAATCCGTCCTTTATGAAATTTGGGAGAAGCCAAGAAGATCTATGAGTGCAAAATTAAATCAGCGTTTTCTTTCTTAATTAAATAATATTGTGATTAAATTTCAAAACACATTTTGAAATAAGCGATACTGTGTTCTTCTCAAAAAACGCGTTGTTGTCTTAAAACATATAACACTTTTATTCAGATGATGTACCATTTATGGTTCCCATTTATAGGCTCCGGTGTTCATAGGTCAGATCCAGATCAATTTTTACAGACTACGGATACTTTTAAAAGGGTCTCTCTGTACTCACGTGATCCGAGTATTGTCTTGACGAATATGTCTGTGAGTCCTCCGTTGTTGGAGTACCTGCACACGCAGTGATAGTCCCTCAATTTCAGGCTCCTCTCGTCACTGTCCGCCACATACAGCATAACAATGGCTGAAACGTGTTGAACTCAGCGGTAATAGCTAGTTGTTTAAAATACCTAATAACCCGGGTTGACCAAAAATGCTTGTCCTACAATTTTCATTTTTGAAAATGAAACATAGTTTTTTTAATCACCAGAATGTTTTATTCGGTTCAAATAGCCGCAGAAAAACTAGTTCGAATCTTTTTTGAATTGTTTTTGAAATTGTATGAAAATTGTATGACTAGCATTTTTACATACATTTGACGTATGGAATTGTATGACAAGCATTTTCGGTGTATGGAATTGAAAGATAAGCATTTTCGGTTTATGAAGGTCAACCCGGGAAGCTTTTAGCGGTAATTAAGATTTAAAAAAAAACGAGACACTTCCCTTCAAGATACAAACTCTCTCAGCAATTAATACAGCCATACAAAAGAAGTTTTTAGCCTGTTTGAAAAAAGTTATCCTGAGAAACGGAAAAGCAATCCAATTTTTGTGTATCCAGGACTACGTCATGCAAATTTTTTTTTCGAAAAAGTTTGTTTGAGTACAAAAATCTATTTGCGGTTGAAAAAAAAAACCAAAAAATTAAATTTTTCCGGGCAACTTCAAATGTATTTGGAAAAAATTTTGTTGTCGCCATCAAAAAAATGCTAGTCATACAATTTTTATATATGGAAACTGTATGATAACCATTTTTTCAAAAAAGAAACATAGTTTATTTCTCATCACCACACTGTTTCATTTGGTTCAAATAGCCTCAGAAACTAGTTCGAATCTTCTATGAATGATTTTTTGAAAATGCATTTGATGTATCGAATTGTATGATCAGCATTTTTGGTGTATGGAATTGTAAGATAAGCATTTTCGCTTTATGGAGTTCAACCCGAGAAGCTATTAGCGGTAATTGTGTAAAAACAATTGAGACAAGTCCCTTCAATTTACAATTTCCCTCACCAATTAAGACTACTGAAAATTTTTTTGAAAAAATGGTTATCATACAGTTTTCATATCAAAAAATTGTATGACTAGCATTTTTTTTGATGGCGACAACGAAAACTTTTCCAAGTACATTTGAAATTGCCCGAAAAAATTGCGGCCCCTCAGCGATTAGGACAATGGTCGTAAATGCTGGAGAGGGGTAACTATGAATGAACTTCTCTCATTGGCGAAAAGGGGGGGGGTGATAAAATGGGGACTGTAGGTTTGTAAAAATTGAGATGTTTTAATTGTCTTATTTGCTGATCTAGTTTATCTTCCTAATTCTAAATTAACAGGAATTGATTTCAAAATTGAAGGGGATACGTTTATCGCACAATATATAAATCAAGTGATGAAGAAATGAGTCTGATACGTGCTGCAGCAGTTTAAATGTGCTTGTGGAATCCTGTGACAGAAAAAAATTGGCTGCGGAATCCACTGACAAAAATAACTCGTCGGCATTTTGTGTACGGATCATTTGATTGTGGAATTCACTAACAAAAGTCTCTAAAACCCGCAAAAGATGTGTCCGTGGACTCCAGAAGCCTGAAGGCACGCAATATGTGCTTAGTTATAAAACCGAGATAGGCGTCGTAATGAACATAATTTTTAAGAGTCTCGTTGGCAGTAGCAACAGCATAGCTAGCCAATGGCGATCACATTTTGGAGATGATCTTCGTGTATCATAAAAATACTTATTCAGCATTTTTAAATATTCCTTACATTGAAATTTTTTCAACAATATATGAACTTAACAGTACAAAAATCAGCACGATTACAAGCAAACTGGAATTTGAGTTGTTGCTGTCTTAGGGCACTTCTTGTAAATTGTGTTCAGTTTACAAATGAGGTTATCTAATTCCTTGGTGCTCTTTCCTTGCTACTCTTCTTGGTTCAAACTGATTATGATGATCCGGTAACAGACACCTCGAACGTGATCTTAGTCAACCCCACCCCCCTCTGTCTTGTTTCTGGCGCTCGATGACTGAGGGCATCATCCAATGGCTGGTCTGAGCAAAACCTGATTTGCCATCTCTGTAACTTGGCCTCACCTTGTTCTCGCCTTGTTGATGGCCACTATGGTCCGGCGAGTTTCCGCGTGAACGACTTGTATTAGACTGTTCAACTCTGGGCTTCGTCTAGTTTGACGAGTTCGCTCTTCTAGCCCATGGCAACAAGCCGGCAGACAAAATCCTTTTATTTTGACCCCCTGCCGACCCAAAGGGTCCCCCTTTGTACTATTTTGAGATATCCATTTTTAGTGACGGACCCTAAAACTTTTCTAAAGGCGCCTTCGACGCCAGTATATAATAATTTTGAGGGGAGAGCGCGCGCAGAAAAAATGCAATTTTTAGTCAAAATTCCAAAACGCCTTTTTTGGCCTGTTTTTTCAAAATTTTGCCTGCGGCGCAGATATTGTGGCCAAAACGGACTTTTAAGTGCTTTGGGAGAGCTCGAAAAATCAATTTGGTCGACCTAAAAAAAAGGTCGACAGAATTTTCGGAAATTTTTGAAAATCCGCGCTCCCCCCTTCGAGAAAATCCTAGATCCGCCCCCGAAGGCACGTGTCCGCTTGTGCAACTGTCCAAAACAGCCGACAATCCGACAGCAAGTGGCACAGCAGAATTGCCACATTGTTTCTCAGGAGCAATAGTATGTGTCTTTTTGATCTGTTTACAAGCAAGGGTTTGGAAAATCACCAGAATGTTCTTCAGCTATGTGAGTTTATCAATTCGGTGATGCCGCACAATATGCAAGTGGAAACCAGCCTTAGTGAGATGAAACTTGCCGAGAGAAAGTATCAAAATCAGTTTAAGATCATTTATCCACGAGGGATAGGACCAACATACGAGCTGTACAGCTCATCACGGCGAAGCGCTGCTGTTCCCCTGCTTAAGAAGTACATGCAATTTTTTTTTGGTTATTTTTCTGGGTTGGGTAAAATTGCCTCACCCTCAAGCAACGAGCACGGATCATGGCGGGCCTCGAACATCCGACTTTTCGATTGAGAGGCGGAGACGGGCTCTTTTTCCTCCCCCCCCCCACCCCCCCCCCACCTCAATCAAACATGAATTTTATTGTCTAGTGAGTGGTTTTACTAGGTTAATTACGAAGACCAAATATGTTTGGCATGGCCTAATTAGTCTGCATGTCAATTTTCATGACAATCGGACAAAGTGATTAGTAATTTCAAATATTAAAATTAGCAGGTGGGGGGGAAGGAAAAAGAGCCCGGAGACGTAACCACTTCACTGCTCCCTTAGCACTTCACCACTGCTCCCCTTTCTGCTCCCCACATGATGCTCGCCACATGATGCTCTCCAACGGGTTCGCTCGTATTTTGCCAGAGATCAGATAGAAACTATTACTATTCCACGCGACCTTCTTGACTCAATTGTGACTGCATCTTCTTCGTATCTCAATTCATCGCAAGTGCCACCAATTCAGAATGAGTAAGAAACGCCGAAGTTAACAAGGAAAAATTTGCGGTCTTGAAGAGGCATATTTCTGCAGACTTGAAAAAAAAAGACTCTTCTCAAAAAAAAATCGACGGCAAGCAAAATTATCGAGAGCCATGGATCAAAAGGATCGCTTTAAAAAGGAACCCAGAGGATAAGATGTGCTGGCAGAATCCACGTTTGCTAATGTGGTTGATCAAATGTTTTGATTTGCCGAAGCAATAAAAATTTTTGATCTCAATTTTTTTTCCTGCAGCTATAGTGTTTTTCGGCTTCAAATTCTAGCTTTTGCTGTCATAATATGAGAAATCTTGTTCTGTCATCAGCGTATTTGATCACCCTGATGTAAATGCTCAAGACGCGACACCAAGGGAGGTTTCACACTTTCTTCGTTTTTTTCTCACAGAAAAACGGTGCTTTTAAGCCAAAGATTTCTCGGTCATATTCAATGCCCTAAACGCTTCCTCATACTTTTCTCCTCAGGTAAAATTTTTTTTTGGAAGATCAGCGAAAGGTTCCGTAAGCCGACCAAGCTCGACATAAACCTCATGAACTGGTTCATAGGGCGCACAGACAATTCGGCCAAAGACAATTCAGCCAATTTGAAATTCAGACAATTCAGCCAGAAATATACAGACAATTCAGCCAGTTTTACAAAACGCTAGATTCGACAGAAAAAAATTGGAATTGGAGTTATTTCTCAGTTTAAGGTCGCCGGTGGGCGCGCTACGCGCGTGTCGCCGCTTTGCGGCAATAACCGGCTCTAAATTTCGTATAGAGTCCTACCCTCTGTTGGCAAGCTCGAAACACGTTGGCGCGACTGCGGCGGTCACTACTATTGGCTGAATTGTCTGCATACTTTTGGCTGAATTGTCTGAGTTTCAAATCGGCTGAATTGTCTTTGGCCGAATTGTCTGGACGCGGGCTCATAGATCCGGTTAGAGAGATTACAAACGTAATATTTTGTGGTTTCTTGACTCAATTATTGAATGGACCTTTTTGACGACTGGGATTGCTCCTTTAGTCGACAATTTACAAGCAAGACGTTCGTTTTCGTTGGCAAAGAGTGAGCAATTAACCGATTTGTACGCAAAGTTATTTTCATCCAGTCTGGTTGCTATAAGGGTAGATCTCGTTTGGCTCATTTAGAAAACCTTAAATTGTAGGTCTGAAGCTGTACATATTGCTAAGTTTGCGCTTACATTGAAATTACATTACCTGGAATCACATGGCCTTTTTGTGCTCTCGCTAAACTTCATCTGCGATCATGCATATTCAGAGCGAAGTTCGGAATCCAACCGAGACCCTGGTCACTACGACTGTTAGCCAGTGCCACATAATCTACCAAATAAATCAGGTTAGACATCCCGTAGCTGTTTTTCTGATCTGCTTGTTAAATAATTCCGGTGCCAATTCTAAATGTCTTGTCTCCTTATTGCCGTGAGTACTGCCGGCAGTTAGAAAAAAAAACGACTCGGTTGCCTAATTTGGCAATTTTTTCATCTCAACAATCCCAATACTGTCTCTTCGGTTTTGATGAGACATGTTTTCGGAATCTTTTCCACTTTATTTGAATGGACCTCAGCAGATGATGTGAACTTGTTCGTACTGCAACCTCTTTTTAGACATCTTTATTCTCAGCAAGCCTTCAGATTCAATTTAACAAATTTACTTTGGGTTTTAACTGCGAGGGTTGATGCACTTGTTTTTTCCAATGTATTTTTCTGTCCTCTCACGGCAAAGTAAAATTCATCGTGGCTTTCTATCTGAACGCTTAATTCATTTCTCACGATTATTCTTCGATTTGCTTTACTTTTACCATCAGTGGCTGAACTAATTGCCAGGAGTTGATCTCTTTTTTAGCCGAGATGAAATGCACAGGGCTTGCACAATTAAACTGGAGTTGCTCTTGCTTGCTGATTTCAAATTGCAAAATGAATTCTCGTAGATCAGGGTGAAGTCATGACTGTTACGACTGCACTTTATGCCAATTAAAAAGAATTAAGTAGAAAAATTGATAAAGTAATTATAAAAAAAGAAGTTCTTTCTTCAATGTATCCCTCACAGGATGAGGTAAACTACAAAAAGATGTATTAAACGTCTCGTGTCCTACTAAAAACCTCAAATGCTTTGCTGCAATTGAGTTTGGAATGCTTTATTCCGCCGCTTACGCGTGTTATAAGAGCGAAATTTATCGCGCGTTAATTATCCCATGTTGCGCTGTTTAGTAGTTTTCAAAACCCCATAACTTAACAAAACATGAACTTAGATAATCTCTTTTTACACTTGCCAAAACAAGTGTCTTGTAACCGAGAACTATATAGACATTTTCCAGTAAGCAACTTTTTTTACACCCTTCTAAGAAATTGATGTTGCTTTATTATCGAGCCTCAGCAATTTCCCGGCTCCTTTTCACTTGGTCTCGAAGTAATGCTGTTAAGTTTTCACCCTAAGTTTCGTTGATTATCTTCTGTAGTTTTGAATCTTCCTAACCTTGACTCGTATATTTTTGGTTTTTTATTTCTATTTTTTCGCGCTTAGAATTTTTTCTCCTTAACAAATTCGTCCTTTGTTTTGTCGTTTAGTGAAACTATTTGGCATCGGCTTAAATGCAAAAAAGTTTTATTTTTAATTTGATAGTTCAAGTCAATTGAAGTATACAAGTTATAAATTCAAACAGTTTTCTAGTTTTCAAAACTTGCACGTGCTGTAAGCAATTTTCATTGTAGTTGAATGTGCAAGTGTTGTTCAATGTAGGTAGTTTCAGTGGTGATTTAATAGAAAAGTTTTTTTTGCTCAACTTGTCTCTGCTCAAAGTTTGTTGGCCTAGTTGTCTTAGGATTTTTTGTTGTTTCGCATGTAACTTTTGTTGAAGTTACAAATGCAAGTCTGGTTCATTGTAGCTTCATGAGGGACTTAAACTATAAAAAAATTAAAAAATGCATTTTTTTCGGCTCACTTTGTGTCTGCTCAAAAATTGTCGAGTTTAATTTCTTCCGTTGCTAATTTGATTTTCAAATATCTGGTTCCTTTGCCTTAAATGAAGTTCTACCGAGTCTTATGAAATTTTACTATATGGTATGCCTTGTTTTTTCAATTTTCTTAAAATGTTTTTTGCTTCAGTTTTTTTTTCTCCTTAACAATTTCGTCCTATGTTTTGTCGGTTCAGTGAAACTATTTGGCATCGGCTTAATGGGGTGCATTGAGCTCCTTTCTGTATACTTTAGGGGTGCATTGAGCTCAGTTTGTTGCACCCAATATGTAAGATTGAGTTTACATACTTAAGAATAGCCTACCTTCCTACAATAGAAAAATACTAACTGTTGGTGCGGCGTGCGGAGGGGGCTATATATTTTTTTGTAGTTTGGGGAGCGGGTGGAGGAGGGGGTTGGAGAGGGAAGGGTTTTAGTGACAAAAGAGCTCCATTTGTTTCTACCTGGTGGATTGTACTTGTGCTGTTGGAAGTGAATGGAAGTAGAAGACACGGGAGTGGTACTGGCTCTGATCACACTCTTCACACTCTCTACTGACGTCATCACACATGCACCCAGGAAACACACGTATAACAGAACAGTGCACACATTAGCCAACACCATGCGTCTCTTGCCCCCACCCCATGCAACTAGCAGAGCATCTTTCTTATCGTCTCTCTCCCCATCTTGGTCATCTCCCTGTCCAACACCTGAACACTTCGAGTTTCCGCACTTATTCAGCCAAAGTTCGAAACTCTCAAAGTTCGTGAAACAGAAATGAAAGTTCACAGAAATCCAATTCGTTGAAAAAATGCGTCAGCCAATTTAAGTTTCAACAAGACGTTAGAACTAATGGTGAATTAGTGATGCGCTTTTCCAAAATATGAGCAAATGGTTAAAGCGAACTTAGATATCCGTACTTTTGCTCTAGACCTATGACTGAAAGTAACTTGGGGTTAGTAACTCGTTGTGTTTGAAAGTTGTATGAGATTTTTCCCTATGATAACGGTGGTCACAAATTGTGTGCTACTGGCAAAGCAACTTGATACCCGTCAAGTTGCTTTTATTTGCTGATCCGAATATTTTCAAACGCACACCAAAAAAATTCGTAGCGGATTTTTCTTGGAAGGCGCTTTTTCTGGTCTTTTATCTAAAATAATATCAACCTTCGAAAAATTTTATGATTGGTCGGCGGGCGGGCGGGCGTTTGGGCGGGAGATTTTCGAAAACTATTTTTCAACTTTTTTATGGGCCAGCCAAATTGACTTTCCGAGCTCTTCCAAATCATTATAAAGATCCAAATTTGTTTTGACCAATTGTTTCTCGCGTTGCGACACTTTTTGGACACTTTTAAAACACTTTTTTGAATGTTTAGACCAAAAACTGCCTTTATTCATATACATTCTAATCAGCCTGTAGTTTTGAAATAAAAGAAACGTGCAAGTTAAGTAAGCTCACTTGATCGTCGTTGGTTGTTAAGCTTGCCATTTTCGGCGTCTCTACTGCTCCGATCACCTGTTGTTGGACGACATGTCTCCTCAATTGAGATTTCCTATGAAAATGGCTGATTATTTGCCGTTAAACATGACTTTTCACGACACAATTAAACATTTAATGTTTTCAACGTGAAACAAGACGGTTATTCAACATGAGGAAAAACCCAAAAACTTAACCTGGAGTTCAATTAATGACAAACCTTTCGAATTTTGAGTTTCGTTTTCTCCATCATCGCAGAGCAAGTGTTCTAAACGTTGCTGAAGTTTCTCGGATGAAAATAGAATATTTTTGAGAAAATGTTGCTGAAAATTTGCAAATGGGAGTAGAATATTGTTAACTAGATTTTCCAGAACTATAACTCAGCAAAAATCATAAATCGGATGATAAATGTTTCTTTTTCAGAATGATTTATAAAAACCATAAATTTACTGCAACTAAAAATTTTCTTCAGATCCATTTTTCTGCAGAACTGCTTGGAAACCTTTATTATATAATTCATAGAAAATATTCTAATTCTTGACAGAAAATGTTTTAAATTCTAGAAAACTTGAAACGTATGCCATTCGGTAAAATACTCATGATGATGCCACTCGAGATTTAAGCCATATGGTTAATCTACAAAAAGATAAATATTTATTGAAAAAGCAACCAATTTAGATGGTTTTAATAATGCAGTAATAAACTGAAAATAAAGATGAAAAAAGCGACACACTATCATCATTCAGATTTTACCAAAACAATATTGAAAGTTTTTTTTTCAAAGAAAAAAAAATGTGCTTACAGTCAGGGGGCAGATCTAAGATTTTCTCGAGGGGGGATTTTCAAAATATTTTCAAAACGTTGTCGAACGTTTTTGCTAGGTCGACCAAATTGATTTCCAAGCTCTCCCAAAACACTATAACGACCGTAATTTTAGCACATTTTTAGCGCCGCAGGCAAACTTTTGAAAATTAGCGTTTTAAGGCACTTTTTGGAAAATTTGAAGCCAATAATCGCGTTTTTTCGGCGCGCGCTCCCCCCTCAAATTTAGTATATATTGGCGCACAAGGCGCCCTTAGAAAATGTTTAGAGTCCTCACCAAAAATGGATTTCTCAAAAAAGTACAGAGGGGACCCTATGGGTCAGCAGGGAGTCGAATCCCTGAGAGTGAGGGGCGTTCGAAACCCCACCCCCTAAACCCTCCCCCTAAATCCGCCCCTGCTTACAGCTACACATTATGAGTAACAGGTTTTTATGCGCACACGAACGAATTGAAGTTAGACAATTATGCTTAAATTCAAAACTAAAACTGACTCGTAGCCATTCCTTTTACCCGGGCCGACGCGACGGGGTCGACTGATGATTCGAGAACGTCGAGCAGGTGCAGTTGTACGACTTAAAATCCGCGGCCGAGAAGTAATTTTAAATCGAGCACAAAGTCCAAATATAGCCAATTTTAGTCAAAAAAGTCAAAACATAATCCGAGCAAGCAGCGGATTCGACTCCCTGACTACTCAATGGACTACCGACAAAGACCTCCGTTTTTGACTGGTTGACTCCAAACTTTCTCTAAAAGCGCTTTTGGCGCCAATGTATACTAATTTTGACGTGGGAGCGATAATTTGATAAAAATTTCCCAAAAGCTCCTAAAAACCTAAAAAAGCTTTTTTGACCTGATTTTCAATATTGGCCTGCGGCGCAAAAGTTTTGCCCAAAAAAGGGTCAACAAACTGTTCAAAACCCCCCCTTGAGATAATTCTAGGTCCGCACCTGAGTTGAGCACAATCAGACATACTCATTTTGGTCGGGAAAGTTGAAACATATCTGAGCTATATTGACCAAACAATACAATTTTTTTTCGGTCAAAACCGTCGATAGATTTCGAGATTGGTGAAACCTATAAAAGTAAAGTGTTCACTTCGATAGTGTTTGATCGTTTCATTGCACCCCTGTCATCGAAATCCGAGAAACGTATTTAGAATTTTATTCGCTTTCATAGATGATCTGATGAAGAATCAGGATAAATAGATATCAGGATAAAAAGGTTGGATACATGTGTGATAAAGAAATCAATTTACTGTACAATTTAGAGTACTGTTAGGTTGCATATAAGACCAGGGCGGATCTAGGATTTTCTCGAGGGGGGGCGGATTTTCAAAAAATTTTCCAAAATTTTGACGACCTTATTTTTTTAGTTCGACCAAATTGATTTTTCTAGCTCTCCCCAAGCACTGTTTTCCCCTTATTTTGGCAAAATTTTCTGCGCCGCAGGCAGATTTTTGAAAAAACGTTAAAAAAAGCCGTTTTTGGGCACTTTTTGAAAAATTTTGACAAAAAAAAATCGCTTTTTTTTGGCGCGCGCTTCCCCTTAAAGTTAATATATATTGGCGCCAAAGGCGCCTTTAGAAAATTTTTAGGGTCGGTCGGCCAAAAATGGATTTCTGAAAAAGTATCAAAGAGAGGACCCTTTGGGTCGGCAGGGGGTCGAATCCCTGAGGGGGAGGGGGCATCCGCCCCCCCCCCCCCCCTCAATCCGCCCCTGTATAGGACCACCTAATTCCTTCTAAAAATAGGGTATTTAAAATGTTTTTTGAGCATTTTAGATGAATGGAGGTTTAGCAAAGTTTAAAGATATGTTTTTATAAGGTTTTAGCTTTTCAATTGAGTGGATATTTAAACAGAACAAGAATAACCTACGAGCGGATTTAGTCAGAAGTTATAAAAAGTTTTCTATAATAAATAGTTAAATTTCCATGAGCTAATTTCAGGAAAAGCCGTATAAATGATCTCAAACTGGAATTAAATTGTGGGTGACAATGAGCGTAGGGTAGGATCAGCCTAAAATAAACATCTTATGTTTCGGTTTTATTTTTCAACTTGAAATTTTCTGAAAACTTGAAATTTTTAAGTCGAGCTTAAAATTTCAAGTACTTTCTACCTTTACATAGGCATCATATGTTGTTGATAAGTTTTAAACGAAATTTTTTATTACTTTCAAGTTATTTCGATTGTATGAAAGTTGGCTAATGTAACTCAAAAGCACCCTTTTTTATTTTGTCAGTGGTGCAAAAATTACCTGAAATAAGTTTTGTTCAATGAAATGCTAATGCATATAAAAACCATGCGTGACATATAAACATACATATAAAAACCATAATTGGCTTCAGATAAGAGTTAGCACTAGTTTTGTCTAATTTTTTTTCAGACGAACTTTATTTTGCCCCACCCATCTACAGGTGACGACTTTGGCATGGATTTTCAACGTATGAATTGCTTAGTAAAACAAGGCTCTTTCTTTTGCATATCTCTTTCAAAGCTTGCTCTCTAAAATACAGAATCTCTTCAAAATAATATTTCTCATAAACAAATTCTGAAATACAAAAAAAAAAATGTTTTTTTTTCTTCAAAATTTGGAAAAATAAACTCAATTGTTCACAAAACCAACCATAGCAAGTTTTAAATCTTGTTTTTCACCACGTTTTTTGACTTTATATAGAAAATTTTGTCCTATTGAAGAGATAGTAGAAAATGGACCTATACTGTCTCACTAATTTAACTTTGTTGGCTAATCATATTCTGGGAACACATATAGCAGCAATAGAAGAAAGTGAATAGAAGAAAGTGAACTCGAGAGCAATCACAAAACAGTTTCTTGCAAAGCCAATCTTTGCGTTTTCAGATCATTGGCTGCTTTTCAGTGAAATTGAAAAGAAAGTCTTGCAGAAGGCGCTTAATGGCTATTTGAAATGTTTTTGTTAAAAAAATATTATGAAGCTAAAGTTTATGAGAGTTCAAGATAGATAAAAAAAAAATTTTATTGTTTTTTTCACTGGGCGATTGAAGATGAAAGCCTTGCGGTAGTTGTTCTTTTTCATCATCTTATTGATTGCAGTCAAAGTGAAAGCAACCGCGTCAAAAAGTCTGCAGATGGAGATCATGCTGTCTGATTTGTAATTTGAACATTCTATTCAAAAGTTTTGTTTTCAAATTGCGACAGTTTTTTGGAAACTGCTCAAAGATTGATAGATGTTTCAAAATAATTATTAACCAATTAAATCATGTTTACCCAGGTAACAAGTACAACCCAAGCTCTTCCATGTTTGTCGCGCTGGAATCAGTTGGCAGAAAAGAACATGAGTGGTAAAATGCACAGGATTATTACTTAAATCGTGTTTTCGTAACATTTGATTTTCACATTTCCTTGAACCCGTTATTCGTCCAAACCGCAAAAAACAAGATACTCCCGATGACTGTTTAAAGCTAATAAAAAGTTACGCATCACTAACCAACATAAACCAGTGTCTGTTGCATTTCACCACAATGTACCTTTCTGAATTAGCGACTCTGCACTTGACAAGTTTTTTGACAAGAACAAAATTTTTTATTATTTGCCGTACCTTCACATCAGTTCAAGGATATAACAAATTTAAGCTAAGAGATTTTCCTGGGAATTTTTTCTCAAAGCCTATGGCGTAATTGTAAAAAAAAGATTTTTCATTTGAGTACTTGACATCTTTCGATACAACAATACCGGTTTTCACAAACTTTTTTCAACTTGCGCAAAGGAATTACGTTCAGCTCTGATTACTCAAAAATTGATTAAAATGGCAGTTCAACTAACCTAAAACGACCAAAAACAGATCATTAAAATTTCGATTTAAACTTCTATAAACAAACTACTGAAAATTTCGAGTCCTTTACAGATTTTCTGAAGAACTGCAATTGTCTGGACTTTCAACCTCTGCACAGTTTTGCCTGCAATCTCTGAGGCAAATTTTTTTTCTTTCTTATAGTCAAGTGATAACTTTCTTGGGAAGAAACTAATTAAACCCAATAATTTCAAAAGTTGAACTTTCTGTTACTGAGAAATGAACTCTATTTTACTGAGAAATGAGAGTGTGCGTGGATTTTCGAAAAATAGTGTTGGCGTGGAATCAATATGACGACAATTGAAATTGCCACATGCAACGCTGTCAAAAATCCAATTTTTTACTTACTGATAACAGACGAAACAAGCTGACACACATATTTCGTCACAAACTAAATCAATACTCTAAAACTACCTAAAATAAACCTACTTTATAGAAATGGTTTGCGAGATTTGTTTTAATTAATTGTTTTAACTGCTTTTTGTTGCAAGAAACATAGTGTTTGGTAGCAGAACACCTGGTTATTTCGAAAAGAAACCGTCTGGAACAGAAAAGTTTTGCTTGAATAGTAAAGTTTTCGATCCTATCATAAAAACAATAGTTCACTCAAATTGGCAAGAAAAATCTTCTTAAGAAACATCAGTATCCTTCTGGAAAAAGACAAGAACGTGCGACAAACGTTGTTTTCCAATTGTGATTTTTGACTTATTGACAATTTATTTGTTTTGACATATTTCTGTTTCAAGAGTCGTGTCTCAGAAGATCAAACTTCTGCAAAACACTTTCAATTGAATAAATTGCTAAACCACCAGTCCTTTCTGCTTCAACGTAGAGGTCATGTGCTTTTTTTAACTTGCAGAAAAAATGCTTTTTAAGTGGTTTCCATTGTATAAAATTGGCTAATAAAAAAAATTTACTATGTAATTTTCTATGTTCATTAGTTTCTCCAGACCAAACAATTACCTAAAAATTTGTTCAAAAAATTGCTAATTTTTGAAAAAACATGCTTGCTGAAATTTAACTCAAAATAAGAGTTTGTACTTACTCAGAAAAGATCTAGGACAAGATATATGGTTTTTAAAAGTGGCTGTGAGGTGTTGAGTTTCTCTGTGACAAAGTTGTTTTTGCCCTTTTCGTCTTCAGGTGACAAGTTTGCCGTAGTTTTTCACAACAACGGATTTTTCGGTTCGACTAAGCACACTTGGCACATAGTTTCAGCATATCCCTTTTCAAAATTATTTGCAAAGCCTGTTTTGCCGAACAGTTTATATACTGAAATTTCATCGACAGAGGCATCACCTGTTGTCAAGTGAAATCAAATCAAACTTGTCACGAAAGAAATCAAACACTTCAAAACAACTTAAAATAAACCTAATTTGTTCCAATTTAGTTTGTACAAATGTTTTGATAAGAATGTCTTTATAGTGTTACTCGTTTTTGTTGCAGGAAACATAAAACGTTGGATAGCAAAACACGTGATTTTTCAAAAGGAAACGGGCTGGAACACAAGTTTTTTTGATTGAAGAGTATCTTTTTTGCGCCTATAATGAAAACAAAGTTTTCTCATTATGGTGAAAAAAATTTTACACGGAAACATCAAAGCTTCTAGAAAGACCAGAACGTAAGCATTTTGAGTTTGAATTGCGGATTTACAATCATTGACAAAAATCAATTTTTTTGAAGTACTTATATTGCAGGCGTTGTGTCTCAGATGTTCGAACTTCTGCAAAATTATAATTTTTTAACAATTTTTTTTTCAAGTGATTTTGATTGTATGAAACTTGGCTAATATAATTTATAATATTGTATTTTCGTACTCCATGAAAAAAACATGCTTGCTGAGTTTTGATTCCAATTAAGAGTTAATACTGCGTCAGAAAAATTAGAGGTTATGACAAATTAGGTTTTAGAGTGGCTTTGAGGTGTCTGTTTTTCTTAGAGACGAACTTGATTTTGCCCCATTCGACAAGAGGTGACAACTTTGGCGTGAATTTTCCGATGTTTGAAACGTGTGGCAAAGCAAGCTCAGCATATAGTTTCGGCATAAATTTTTCAAAGCTTGATCTTTCAAAATATAATTTTCTTCAAGATAAAAGTATTTATTCATTTTGGAATACAAATAAAAAGTTTTCGTTTTCCATATAATGAAAAATTACCTTTATTTATTCACAAGATCAATGAATGCAAATTAATTCCCATAGTTGTTCTTAGTTTTCATCAAGTTTTTTTACTTCATAACTGTTGACCAACAGCCTTATTCTTTTGAGGCGTGTCTGAAAAATTAGATGAATCTGCACCACTTTGGGTGTCAATATCGATTTAATCGTCAACGTTATGACTTCAAAAAATCATTTCATTCAGTTTTTTGTTTAATGATTCAGATAGCAAAAAATGGTTTTGGAGCTGAGCTAAATTTAATCTCACGTTTTCTGAGAACTTTCTAAGCGATTTGAAACAATTTTTCGGCCAAACGAATTAATTTTTGTTTTTATCAAAACAGACATGCTAAGCAACCTCGAAT